TCCCCAGTTGTTCCTCCTAGTTTATCTACAAACAAATGTAGGACTGCCCTGTTCCCCAGCTGTAACGCCTGCCTGGGTCCTTCAGCCGCTGCCTTACCTCAAGTCTTCTCTGCCCCATTGTCTGGCTCCACCCTTCCTACCAGTCTGGATGAATGTTTCTTCATTAACTCCTTGATTGTTGGACTTCCATACAGTTCAGTTTTCTGGCAGTGCTGGTTATTTTTTTGTTTTTTAATTTGTTATTGTCCTTTTGGTTTTGCGAGGAGGCAAAGTGTATCTATCTGTGCCTCCATCTTGGCTGGAAGTGATACTGCGGTAGTTTCTTATAAAGTCAAACATATGCTTAACATATGACCCAAGTGTTAAACCAAGTAAAAGGACAACTTATGACACAAAGCCTGTATATGAATATTTATAGCAGCTTTATTTTTACTCACTAAAAACTAGAAACAACCTGAATGTCCCTCAGCTTGGATTGAATAAACCAGCTGTGATATATTCACATAATGGAATACTACTCAACTGTATAAAGCAACTATTTATATTATGCAATGACATAAATGAATCTCGACTGCATTATGTTAAGTGAAAGAAACCAGACTCGAAGCTACTCACTACATGATTGATTTGATATGACATCTGGAAAACTCAAAACTATAGGGACAGTGAAGAACAGATCAATGATTGTCTCCAGTTAAGGGTAAGGGAAGTGTTTTACTACAAAGGAGTAGCACGAGGAAATTTTTTTTGGGGGGGTACAATGGTACTGTTCTGTTTCTTGATTGTGGTTACACAACTTAATGCATTTATGAGAACTCTTAGAACTGAACACTGAAAAATGAACTTTCCTCTGTAAAAATATTTTTTTTTAAGTCTGAGGGCAGAAGAGGGAGACTTTAAAGAAGAATTCCAGAAATATAATTTCCTAAAATATTTAATTTATAAAAAAGATTTTATTTATCCATTTCTAGAGAGAGAGAAAGGGAAGGAGAAAGAGAGGGAGAAAAACATCCATGTGCGGTTGCCTCTTGTGCACGCCCCCCACTGGGGACTGGGCCTGCAACCCAGGCATGTGCCCTGACTGAGAATTGAACCAGCAATACCTTGGTTCTCAGGCTGGCATCAACCCACTGAGCTACACCAGGCAGGGTAAAATATTTGAATTTTTAACTTAATTTTATTCTTGTGGGGGTATAATCCTCATTGCTTTTGGGAGAGAGAGGAAGGGGGAGAGAGAAACTGATGCAAGAGAGAAGCATCAACTGGTTGCCTCTTGTATGTGCTGAACCAGGGATCATAAGTGTTTAGACTGGGGACAGAACCTGCAACCCAGGCATGCGTCCTGACTGGGAATTTAATCCATAACCTTTTGGTTACAGAATGAATCTCCAGCCAGTGTGGTTACAGTGAGCCACATTTACCAGGGCTGGATATATTTTAAATAATTTAAAAGATACATAGTGAAAAGTCTCTGAGTGTAAATTAGATCCTTAGAATTTCTTTATTTTATTTTGAAATGCAGTTGTCTCCTCTGATTTGTAAGATTTCAAGACTGTGTTGCCAGTTTTTTGTTTTTAATTTACTGATTTGAGAGAGAGGGGGGAAAAACCACATTGATTTGTTGTTCCACTTATTGGTGCATTCATCAGTTGATTCTTTTATGTGCCCTGACAGGGGATTGAACCCAAAACCATGGTATATGGGGACACTGATCTAACCAAGTGAGCTAGCTGGCCAGGGCAGTTGCCTTCTACTTTAGTTGTTAAGCTTGCTTATTGCCAGGTATTGTGTTACTTAGCTTTTCTTCCTTACTCTCTTCTTCCTATCCTAGGATACTACTGTGTTACCTAAAGATATGTTCTCCACTTCAGTGTGTAAGACAGTATTCACTAGTGAGATTTATCAAGTTAATTGGATATGTGGATCTCATCCAGAGTCTAGCCAAGCTGTCTGTTCTCCCAGAGATTACTTAATGGACTGAAGTTTAGACATTCAGAATATTGTGGCAGGAGACATCCTTAATATTCTTGGAGGCTGTGTATTACAGTTTCCAGGTGAGTGTGGATTTTCAGATTTGGGAAGACATTGAGAAAATTGGCTGTGACTTTTAGACGTCTGGACCAGGTTCAATATTGATTAACAGCATTTCCCCCTCTGGTTGGCATCCATCTGCTTCCTTCCCCCTGCTACTTTCTCATGAGAGGCAATTTGAATTATTTGCTAGTGTTTCTGGATCATATCTCTACCCTAAATACTCTGATTTTCCACAAGGTTTCCAATTTTTAAGTAAGGACTTTTATTTAGTAAAGTAAGATTATTCCTGTTAGTAGGGAATTGCTGGGTGTCTGTTTAGACTTCTGTGTCTCACCTAAATATGTATCTGTTCTGGGTAAATTGTTATTTCAGCTGATTGCTAATCCTTTAATTTATTCTCTCCCACCTTTTTCCCAAAGGCTACTAAGTGGAAATTTTACTTTTTTTCTATATCTACAGAGTTTACTGCATTCATATTCACATTGGCCTTTCCTTTCTTGCTATACTATTAATCTCTCTGTGACCTTGATGTATCACTGTGTCTTTTATCGGAATCGTCGGTCTTTGTCTTTATTTGTTTTTGCCCAACTCTCTGTCCCTACCCAAGCTCCCCCCATTACTGCTCAGTTTCTCCCCTGTTCATAAAAGTCGTCTGCCCCCCTGCTCTCTTCACTCTCTTACAGCCTATTTTTCCCTCAAGCATGTAATTTGATTTTGATTCCACCACTCCAGTAAAATTGCTCTGTTCAATGACCTAATTGTCAAACTCAGATGATGCTTTTCAGCCCTTAGTTTATTTTGCCTCTCTGCTTCTTTAAACTGATATTGTCCAGTCTTGGTTTTTCTCTTACCTCCTCTATCTTCTTAGTCTCATCAGTCTTTTTTTTCCCTATTCAACCCAAATATGTTACATATTTTTGTCAAAGTGTCGAAATATTTTAATGTTTTAGTGCCATCATTTTAGGTGGATTTCTGTAAGTTCTCTAAAAACCTACTTTAAGTAGGGTTATAAGCAAAATACACAAAATGCTGAGCAAATGAAACTGATTTTAAGAGTCTCGGGTTTGGAAAAGCAGACCGGCTTGACCTTGGCCTTGTGATAGATACATCAGTTTTCTCAGCTGTCAAATGAGCATAACAGGACCAGTTTAGCTCAGTGAGTGGTTGTGAGGCATGACTACTAATGAAAATAATTGTAAACCACTTTAGCAAGTGTGATATAAATGCTAAATAATAGTTCTTTATTGGGATGTTGTGAAAATTAGCAACATGCTGTGTCTTTAGAGGCCTTAAGTTTTTTTTGAGAAAGGTGATATCTTTTTAAAAATATATATTTTATTTATTTTTAGTCAGAGGGGAAAGGAGGGAGAATGGGAGGGAGAAAGAGAGGGAGAGAAACATCAATATTTGGTTGCCTCTCACACACCACACACTGCGGAACCTGGCCTGCAACCCAGGCATGTGCCCTGACTGGGAATTGAACTGGCAACCCTTTGGCTCACAGGTCAGTGCTCAATCCACTTAGCCATACCAGCCAGGGCTGTAAGAAAGGTGATATCTTTTTATAAACATAGTTCAGGATTTGGGAAAAGATATTCCTGCCCCCATTTTTAGAATGTAACAATTATAGAACCACAATGAAACAGTTTTTTATTAGAATACTCCCAAAAGATTCTTTTAATATCACTTTGGGCACGTGCCTGAGTTGCTGGCCAGGTCCTGATCAGCGGCATATGAGAGGCAACCATTTGCTGTTTCTCTCCTTCTCTTTCTCCCTCTCTTCCCTTCTATCTAAAAATAATATAAATAAAACCTTAAAAAAGGAAATAATATCACTTTGAAGGATTGGAAACACTAGAGTTTTTAGCATCTTGGCCTTTTTGTTCTTCATTATGCTAGTTACGGTGTATGGTGGAGGTGATTTATTATCTTTATTTGAAGCATCATAGCCAATCAATAGAACCACTTACAAAAAAGCATAGAAAAAGCCTTTTAATTTATTTCAGGTGACACCAAATGGATGCTGAGGTGACGGCTGCAGTTAGACTTTGAGGAGGAACATGGTACCCTTTCAGGCAAAGTTAGCACTTCTCGTTGCATACTTGAGGCTAAGTATAGAATGAGTAATATCATGTACTTAGAAAATGCTTTAAATTTTAATCTGATGAACTAAATTTTCCTCAGCTTCTAAAGTGGCATTAACAATAGAGGAAAATTGGCCCTGGATGATGCGGCTCAGTGGATTGAGTGCCAGCCTGAGAACCAAAGGGTCACCAGTTCGATTCCTAGTCAGAGCACATGCCTGGGTTGTGGGCCAGGTCACCAGTAGGAGGTGCACGAGAAGCAGCCACACACTGATATTTCTCTCCCTCAATTCCCCTCTGTCTAAAAATAAATAAGTAAATAAATAATATAAAAAACAACAACAGAGGGAAATTGGGATATGGTTCTTTTGATGTCTAAAACCAATAGGGGAAAACTGGAATGGGTAAGCAACAGTCTGCTGACATGCTCAGAAGTTTCACTTGGCTGACAGGTCAGTTACAATCTTGTATGTTGCTTTTTCAATAGACACCTGTGTATTACTAACTTTAGAACAAAGTGACATGGGGTTTTTAGCTTTACATAGGTTGGAATTGAATCTTTTTTTTCTGGAATTTAAGTTCTCCCACGATCCATTATCTGTTTGTATCAAGGACCAAAAGGCTTAGGTTTCTTTTCCTCTGTGATGGGAAGACTACTTGCTTTTGTAGCACCCAGACATTATTTGCTTTACTTTTGCATTTGGTGATAAAGGAATCCTTGAATGGCCTGCTTCCACAGCAGAGATAGTTGAGTAAACTTACTTTTTTGGAAGTGCTTCACTTCTGTGGTTGTATTTAGACTTTGTTACTTGTTTCCATTATCTGCCATCATGTTCATTGTAGACTGAGGTATCAGCTTCAGCTGTTTTATTTTCATAGGTAAAGTTTCATTTTATTTACACACACACACTTTTCATCTTTGCAAAGAGGACATGCTAATCTTCTCTGTATCATCTTAATTTTAGTATATGTGCTGCCGAAGTGAGCAATAATTTTATTTTGGGTTGGCCAAAGAGTCTGTTATGTTTTTTCTGTATGATGGCTCTAGGAGTACTTAGTTCTCTTCAATTTAATTCAAAATAATTTTGTTAGATTGTATTGTAACAGCTGTCATATCGGCATGCATTAAAAAATAAACCTTACAAGGGACTTCCGCCAAGGTGGAGGCGTAGGTGGAAACACTTTGCTTCCTCGCACAACCAAATCTAAAAACAACAAAGTTTTAATAACAATAAACACAACCAAATCACAGAAAATCGAACAATGCGGAGTCCAAAACAACAAACCACTCAGCAAACCGGTGAGAGGGGTGAAGCCAGCAGCTGAGCAGGTCGGGCAAAAATGATCCCTGACCCGGGCAGCGCGCAGGCAGTGAGGGCACGGATCCCAGGTACGGGTAGCTACGGGCAGACCCAGGGAAGGCGTGGCACAGCTGGCTGTCTGAGGTCGCATGTTTGCGCACAGATAAACCAGTGAAGAGACGAGCATTGAGACAGACCTCGCAGGCCCTGGCTCAGGGTGGTGGTCTCCCACATTTGCACTCAGATAAACAGGCAGGGGCAAGCGGTGAGGCAGACCAGGCAAGCGGAGAGGACCGCCATTGCTCCCTCTCTGATCCCGCCCCCACATACAGCATCACAAACCAGCGACCTTGGCGGCCCCGCCCTGGTGAACACCTAAGGTTCCGCTCCTCATACTTAACGGGCACAAACAGACCAAAAATGGCTCAAGAAGATCTCAAAGCCCCAGAGCCCATAACTCTAAGTGATCAAGAAATAGCCAACATATCAGATGCACAGTTCAAAACGCTGGTGATCAGGATGCTCACAGAACTGGTTGATTTTAGTCACAAATTAGAGGAACATATGAAGGCTAAACTAATTGAAATGAATGGTAATGCACAGGAAACCAATAGTAATGGAAAGGAAACTGAGACTCAAATCAAGGGAGCAGACCAGAAGGAAGGAAAAAATGACCAAACAGAAAAGAATGAAGAAACAAGAATTCAAAAAAATGAGGAGAGGCTTAGGAACCTTCAGGACATCTTTAAATGCTCCAACAGCCGAATTATAGGGGTACCAGAAGGGGAAGAGGAACAGTCATGAGTGGAAACCTTATTTGAACAAATAATAAAGGAGAACTTCCCCATTCTGGCAAAGGCAATAGACTTCCAGGAAATCCAGGAAGCTCAGAGAGTCCCAAAGAAGTTGGACCCAAGAAGGAACACACCAAGGCACATCATCATTACATTAGCCAAGATTAAAATGAAGGAGAGAATCCTAGAAGCAGCAAGAGCTAAGGGGACAGTCACCTACAAAGGAGTTCCCATCAGACTGTCAGCTGATTTCTCCAAAGAGACCTTACAGGCAAGAAAGGGCTGGAAAGAGGTATTCCAAGTCCTGAAAACCAAAGACCTACAACCAAAAATTGCTCTATCCAGCAAAGCTTTCATTAAAAAATGGAAGGACAGTTAAAGTGCTTCTCAGATAAGACCAAATTCAAGTTCATCATCACCAAGCCCTTATTATATGAAATGTTAAAGGGACTTATCTAAGAAAAAGAAGATAAAAAAGATGAACAGTGAAAGGACAGCAAACTCACAGTTATCAACAACCACACCTAAAACAAAAGCAAATTAAGAGGACAGCTAGATCAGGAGTGAACCATAGAAATGAAGATCATGTGGAGGGTTAGCAACAGGGTAGTGGGAGAGGGAGAAGGGGGGAGAAGGTACAGAAAATAAGTAGCATAGACAGTAGATAGAAAATAGATGGGGGGCAAGAATAGCATGGGAAATATAGAATCTAAAGAACTTGAGACACGTGTTCATGAACTAAAGAGGGGGAATGGTGGGGGAGGGGTATGCAGGGTGGAGGGGAATGAGAGGGCAAAATAGAACAAATGTAGTGGCATAATCAAAATTAGAAAAAATTAAAAATTTTTAAAAAAGGAAATAATAAGCCTTACCAAACTGGTGAATTTTTGTATAGCCATTTTAATGTTGAAAATGGAAGAAAACATGCAACGTTTTCAGCATATTCAGTGCAATTGACAAAATAGTAAGATATTTAAAGTGTACAACATGATTTTAGGCACCCTTATCTATTTTTGTTTTGTTCATTAGTAGCCAGGTTTCTCTGGAAGCTTTTTCTGGAAGTTGTCATTATTGTCAAGTGAAAAATACCTGTAGGACTGTATAGAGAAAGCACGTTCCACCACTTCCTAACAATGTGGACTATATGTAATATTTGACCTTATGTATTTTTCTTTAATCCTTACCCAAGGGTACATTTAGTGATATTAGAAAGGAAAGGTGGGAGAGGGAAAGAGAGGGAGAGAGAGAAATACTGACAGTGAAACATCCATGTGAGAGAGAAACATCAGTGGTTTGTCTCCTGTACCTATATGCCCTGGCCTAGGATCAAGCCTGCAACACAGGCAGGTACTTGGACAAGGAATCAAACACCCAACCTTTTGGTTTGTGAATCGATCGATGCTGAACACACTGAGCCATACCAGTTAGGGCATTTGTCCTTTTTTTATTGCCTTGTAGAATTTCTTTGTATTTTGTGGCCATCAACTCTTTTTCATAAATGTTGCAGATATTCTTTAGGGCTATGAATAAGAAGTGAGAAAGCAAATAATTGTCAAATGCTTATCGAAGATGGTATTTGTATAAAATGTTTGCCTTGGTTATCTGAGCAGTGGTAAGCTTCTTTTGTTTCCCTCCTTCCAAAGATGCATAGAAAAGCTCCTTCTGTTTGAAGTAAAGTGTTGGCTCTGTATTGGTTATAATTTGCTTTTTCCGGCTGGCAGAGCCTCCTTTTTGTTTCTGTCTTCTGACAGATTATAGGATTGTGGGGAAACAGCGTCCAGGGCTTTTTCAGGAACTGTGCCATTTATCTACAGAAGCCATTGGCTTTGGCACTAGAAGAGAATTGGCTCTGCATTTAAAGATGCCAGATCATGCTCAATTCACAAGTTTGCTGTCTCATTTTGTGTATGTGTATGTGTGTGAAACTTTTTTAGGACGTCGGCTTTTATTTCTACCATGTGCTACCCCATTGGTATGAGAAATCAACAACTCATTCCTTCTTTCCAACTCTCCACACCCAACACCCACAATTCAAGCATCTCAAACTATAGCAAATAACACAAACAATCATTTGAGGATTAGGGAAAAAGACACCACACAAATGTTTCCATTGCCCTTGTGGTGACTTGGAGCTTTAATTCTAGTTTATCAGTTAAAGTCTTAGTCTTTTCTATGTAGACTAGAAATACTTAGGTATGGAAATGATTTGCCAACTAACATGTCTCTTTACAGAGGCTTTTCAAAGGCAAGAGTGAAAGCTAATCGCCAGAGTACTCTCTTTCTTAACTTGGAAACTTAATTTGGATAATGCAGAGTACATTTAGGAAAGTTCTGTGTATTCATTTACCCTCAACACATTCTTTTCAGATGGTTGTAGCATAGTTTATCCTGATTTCAAGAATTGTAAGCAGTTTTAACTCCATTTGTGTGCTACCCTCCATGCTTTTTAAACTGTGTGCAATTGATTTTGAATCCTAACCAACTACATATTTTAGCAAATCTTCCACACTCATTAGGGCCTTATGCTTCTATTTTCCATAGATAACTGTTTAAAGATAGCTTCAAGGTATAGGTTATTTTCATTTAGATTAAGTCAGGGAAGATTGTTAATAGAATAAGTTAGTTTGGATAAGCTGGTATGTGTAGTATGAATTATGTGGACAGGAATTTTTCTCCTTCTGCCAGAAATGCTTCTTTTCTTTTTTCTGCCCAAAATTCAGTCTTGCAAAAGTTGGGGCTTGGTTCTCATGTGCTTTCTTTGTTGTAGTTTACCTTCAAGAAAATTTTTGATTGATTTTAGAGAGAGAAAGAAACATTGATTTGTTGTTCCACTCATCCATGCATTCATTGGTTGCCTCTTCTATGTGCCCAAACCAGAGATAAAACCTGCCACCTTGGCATTTCAGGAGGATACTTTAAGTAACTAAGCTACCCTGCCAGGGCTTTTTTTCTTTTCTTTTTTAACTGGTGTGTTCCCTCTCACTAGACTGAGTGCCTTAAAGTCAGGGACTATAGCTTTTTTTTTTTTTGTCTCTGGGTCTAGTAGAATTCCTGATATATAGGAATGCAATAAATATGAGGTGATGTGGGTGAATGAATGAACAGAACTCTCAAATATACAGTAAATAGATTTTATACTTCCCTCTAGTGTCTGAAAGAGAAAGTGCAGCCAGTTTAAAAAAAAAAGATACCTGGCTGCATTGAAATAATAGTTCAAAGCATTACCTTTTTTACATTTTTTGCTTTTAAAAAGATATTATTTATTTACTTTTGGAGAGAGGAGAAGGGAGGGAGAAAGAATGGAAGAGAAAGCCCTGGCTGGTGTAGCTCAGTGGATTGAGCGGGGACTGTTTGGGTCACCGGTTCAATTTCCAGTCAGGGCACATGCCTGGATTGCAGGCCGGTTCCCCAGTGAGGGCCACATGAAAGGCATCCATACATTGATGTTTCTCTCTCTCTCTTTCTCCCTCCCTTCCCCTCTCTTGAAAATAAATAAAACAAAACCTTAAAAAAGAATTTTAAAAAAAGAAAGGGAGAGAAACATCAACATGTGAGAGAGACACAGATTGGTTGCCTCTCGCATACCCCCTGACCAGGAATCATGCCGGTGACTTTTTGGTTTGCAGGCTAGGGCTCAAACCCCACCAGCCAGGGCATTGCCTTTTTTTTTTTTTAACTTTAACAATTATTTTTTCAGACCTTCTGTTCTCTGTAAGTCTAGTGAATAATAAGGTTTCTTATTAAAGTTTGTGTTCTGTCTCATGGGTATTTGAATTCTGTAAAATGTCACATAGCAGGTCTTTAAGGAGGAAATGCCTTTTTATTTTTTAAAAAGATTTAAAAGGCTTATTTATTTTTAGAGAGGAAGGAAGGGAGGGAGAGAGAGGAAAGAAA